CTCCAAGTGAAACTAGTATCGTCCGGAAAGAGGCAGATTTTACCGCTAATGTCGTTTGGCATATAATTTTGACGCCCTGTATTTTTTTAAGATTACAATATTTATAGCAAAGTAAGTACAGACCAACTATAGTAAATAAGTAAATACCCAGTATAGTTTTTATTTCAGGACATTTCTTGTATTTTTAATATTTTTTTTTAAAAAAGGCTGAAAAAGACATTTTTTATTTATTTATTAATATCTCTTAAACTAACAAAACAAATTTAATAAAATTTAGGGTTATGTAAAATAATCAGAAAGGAAACCAAAAATGCAATAACATAGAGGATTTTCCATTAAAAAAAATCATCGCGATCCACTCACACTTTTTTGAGCTACCCTGTAGAAGTTAACATATTTCCCTGAAACACATCCTACCTACACTACATACTTTAGGTCTGCACTTATACAACAATGCTGGAGTCTTTATGAAACATGAACTTAATTTAAAAGCGTTGGCCAAAAATAACATTTTGATATATTGTTAAATAACTTTAGAAACTTGAGTGCACTGAAAATAAATACCACAGACAAAAAATGCTAATTATTTATACAGAGGAAAATATTAAATGGAACTTACCTTGTTGTTTATATTTGAGAAGCACTTAATAAATAATAAGTGATCTTTTCAATTAAAGTAAACTATATCATAACCCTTATCGGCTATCGACTGATTTTTCTATTTCAGATTTCTATCTGAAACAGAAAAGCCAATCTAAGCATCAGATTTTGTTTTAAGATATACAGTGTGCCTAAGAATATTGGGCATATACGGATTTTTTTATTTAAGGCTTCTTAGAAATTCTTTATTTTGATAAGAAAACTTAAATTGAAAATCGTTTTATTTCAGCAATGGCTTGGTGTACCGGTTGCGTCTCAAAAGTGGCTCACCCCTATAACTTTTTTATTTTTTTAGTTAAAAAACACAGATTTGGATGTTAGTAGTACATTAGTAGATGACATAAATTAGGGTTGATTGGAGGTATTCAATTGTTTTCGGTCACTTCCTGTTTCACCGGAAATGACTACAACTTTTGATTTTATTCGATAGAAAATAACACTCTGTATAGAATGACATATCATATGTCCACTTTTGACATTTTCGCATATTTAAGAATTTATGATATATTTGATATTATAACTTTTGGTTCGTAACAAAAATTTGACTCGAAATACCAAGTGTGTGGTATCAAATTATTCGTAAAAAAATGCTTGTTCCTAATATGCTAATGAGCCATCCTCGTTCCATTTGAAAAAATTGAGATATGATTAAAAATACAATTTGAGCATTTTCAAATTTGACAAATGACATGCCATTCTATTCAGAATGTAATTTTCTATCGAATAAAGTAAAAAATACTGAGGGTGCCATTTAAAAATCAAAAGTTGCGATCAATTCCGGTGAAACAGGAAGTGACCAAACACAAATATATACGTCAATCAATCCTGATTTATGTCATATATGTAATAGAATAATATCAAGCTTTGTAAAATTTTATCTTTTTGGTTTGTTATTCTAAGATGGGACTATTTCAGTTTACAAAGTTATCAGTCGACATAGGCAAACGAATTTTAAAAGGCCTAAGCAAATAATCTAATGATATTCAAGAAACATAAACTCTCTAAATGTACGCATATATCCTGAGAAACTAACTAAGCAAATAATACAATCTTCTAGATAATTTAAAGTCACATAAACGAGGGTAAAGTAGAACAAACATTCATCCCTTATTATCAAAACTCTATTTGACAGAGTGGTACCAGTTGTGTACCCTAGGGATATCTCAAAATAAACAACGCAGAAAAAGCACGTAGGCATGCTTAAGGAAATAAGTAAAATGAAATCATCCCCTCGCTAGAGGTTTGACATTGAAAATTAAAAGTATTAAATATATATGTTTTAAAATCAGAATCCAAATGTTCACGAGATGAATGTCTGAAAATGATAGAAATAGGATTATCTTTTTTCCGTTCCTAGAGTTAAATAGAAATAGACAAAAATATGAAGAAATAAAGAGTTCGTTTCTAGGCGGTTTTTTTTCTAAGGTAGTCCTATGGCACGATATCATTTGTATTAGTTAAGGCTTAGATTATGAATATTATTCAGCAAATTGGTAAAAGAGTAAGATTTACACGGAAGGGTTTAAAAAATTACATTTAATTAATAAATAGGACATGCTGATGCTCTCTCGGGATAAGGACCAGAAACAAGGATGAAAGAAGTCTAGGGATCTTTCGGGGAAGGAACCCTTAGGCCAATTAAAAACGTGCGAAATATGCATTTGGATGGGTATTCGAAGGTTCCTCAAACAGGGGCGTGCCGAAGATGTAGTAACGCCTGTCAGAGATAGTATCAGCATAATGTATTTTCATCTTAAAAATTAGTTCGGTACTTACTTTTAAATTAGATGGTCGAATTTACTTCGTGTAGATCTTATTTTATCCAGTGGTCTTTTTAATTGTTTTAGTAAGTTCTCTATCTAAAAATTTTCTCAAATAAATTCTGAAATTAGGAAATTCTAAACTATTCATGCTTAAAATTTTTTAATTGTTGTTTTGGATTTTCTCTAATAGTTTTTTATTAATGATTCAAGACTTTCTGTTCTAAAGTCTTTAGTCAAATTTAGATGTCATTGCATAAGTGATTATTTTGCAATTATTCTTTTTATTAAATTCTAATTTAAATTTAATTGTTCAGTTAATATTTTTTTTAACATATTAATTTTCTGGCAACGATAACTCTAAGAGAGATTTGAAATTGTATGCTAATTGTAGATCATTTAAATTAGACTAATAAGAAGAATATTTTGTATTTTTTTAACTTTATCATCTCTGAGTTTTAATTTCATTTCTCTAATTGTCATTAATTATTTTTGATTCAATTTATTTCTTTTTCTTTATACTTCATTAATTATAAATGTTTTGTTGTTAAATCTTTTTCTTTATTTTTATTTATTTATTTCTTTATATTAAATATAGTTAGGTGTTGTGAAAAATAGGCATTTTATTTCTTTCTTTCACCTATTCACTAAAATATTAAGTTATTTAAAAGAACACTGTGATAACCGGTCGAGTGGTTCAATCCAAAGAATGAGTCCAAGACCGAATGGGTAGATCTACAAGGGGATCAACGAAGTCTTCGATAGGTTCCTGTTGTTGATGTATTGCTGACGGATGTTGACGTAATAAGGTAAGTGGCAGTAGAGTTTTATGTTAACTGAATTTAGAAAGAACCCTTACCATAAAAGTGCGATGCCTTAATTTCTATTTTTAGCTGGTTATATTTTGTTTTTATATGTAAACGATAAACTATATTTACGCTCTGAAAAGACGGTGCTCTCATTAATCCAAGTTCTGCCTACCGCTCAATAAATTATTTTAATTATAATAATTATACAAAGGCCACACTACCATGATAACGGACATCTTGAAAGTTTTGTCACATATACTAACATACCAATACTTGTTTTTTTTATCTGAAAAAATAAAAAAGTTTTAGGGGTGAGCCACTTTTGAGACGCACTCGGTATATTAAGACTTTATGATAATTAAAGTGAACATGTTCATAACAACAAGGAATTAACCCATAACCAAGCACAAGAAACGTCAAGGATAAAATCATAAAACAAAAAAAATCCAGTTTTATATTTAACAACTACAACTTTAGTTTGAAAATAAGTTTATCATTCTGTATATGAGGCATTCTGTATATGAGAAAAAATATTTTAAAAACGTGCTAATATCATTAAATCAAACATTGTTAAAAAACTATTTCTAAATTAAAATAGCGTACAACTGGTAATGGTATATTATTCTTTTGTCAAATGCCTAGATCATATTGTACTATAAGAGTGTCCCAATATTCTATGGACATGGAACTACTACGTATTTTTGGAATCAAAATAATAAATAATAATCAATATAATAATGGAATAAAATAATCAATATAATAAACAAAAAAATTAGTAAATACTAGAGGAACCAGGTAGGCAGTTGGTTGACCGAAAACTTGCATCAATCAGCAAAAATAAAAGCTCGAATAGAAATAGCCAGAGCATCCTTGGTAAAACTCAAAAAATGTCTGTGCAGTAGAGACATCAACTTAAAGCTTAGATTAAGAATGCTAAGGGGTTACATATTTGCAACTCTACTCTATGGTTCAGAGGCTTGGACACTTAAAAAGGCCGAAATGGAGAAGCTTGAGGTATTCGAAAGATGGTGTTATACGCGTATGCTGAGGATTGCATGGACTGACAAGGTTACAAATGTAGAACTGCGACGCAGAATTCAGAAGGACGAAGAGGTGATTAACACCCTTAAAAAGAAAAAACTTGAGTTCTTTGGATACATAATGAGAGGACCTAAATATGCCCTGCTGCAGAACATAATAGAAGGAAAGATAAAGGGCAGAAGGAGCCAAGGAAGAAGAAGAACATCATGGTTCAAGAATTTGAGAAAATGGTTTGGAATGACTTCAAACCAGTTATTCAGAGCAGCCGTTAACAAAGTTAGAATTGCCATGATGATTTCCAACCTCCATTAGGAGATGGAACCTGAAGAAGAAGAAGAGGAACCATTGTTCTAAAAGAAAATCTGTCGTTGGTAGAGTTGGAAAATATTTATACTAAAATTTATGTAGCGTTAAGGGTAGTAGTAGTCACCCTTCCCGCTTACTTTTTCTTGATTTTTGTGAAAGTCAAATCTTAAAACACTTAGCAAAAACATAGACACCCAAAATCCTATCATTCAAGTCGGGATAACGGTTCTTAAAATATCTGAAAAAAAGTGTTTATTTTTTTAAAATTTGATGCCTTCTAGCGGACAAACAATGCACTTTGAATATTGGGACACCCTGTATATTTGTATTATCATCAAGGTACAGGTACAGGCAATCAATCAAGATCACCGAGGTGTATGGTGTCCTTTATGTTACATTGTGTGGGTTTCCATGACAACCGGGCATCAAAACATAACCAACCACAACAAACGTCATGGACACCGTCATGTCATAACAAACCATGCATTGAAAGAAATACTTTGTTTGATAGATAAACCGTTTATTTTTTTGCTTGGAAATCGTTATTGGAGAATGATTATAATAGAACTGAAGAACAAAAGATGTCAAAAGGCAAAGAAATTAACTCTAGTTCAAACAATGAGTTGAAACTTACTGGCGACAAGGTAATATAAATTTTAATATCTAATTTTTACTATGTTTTTACTTTAATATTTTCAAATTTAAAATTCCGTTATATTATAAACTTTTCATATACAGGGTGTTTCAAAAAACATGTGCCACCTCTCGTGGGGAGATTCCTCTTCATCATAGGTCCGATTCTGCATTGGTTCGTAGCTGCAGGGTGTTAGAGTCTTAATATTTTTTGGATTTATTGTAATTTTCTTCCAAGTACTTTTAGTGATTTGAATGAAATTTTGACGGTAAATATTACTATAAGTGATACATATTTTAATGCTAAAAAAGTGTCGATAAATTCATCAGGGGCCTGCATATAGGTTATCACTGGAATATTAAAAAAAAAAAACATGTGAGCCACTGACTTTTTTCTTTTGATATGAAAATCGTGTAGGCCGTTCAATGTCAATTAAAAATTATCTCTTGATATTTTGTCGATTTCGGTCCCCTTAATGAGATAAACGCAATTTTATTAATTTGCCTTGATCCAAGACTAATAACAACCTTTAAAAAAAATAATATCATTAACTTAAGAAAATATTCATTGATTTCTCATCAAAAATATAAAAAAGTTTCTATAAACATGGGTATGGAAATGCATAGTTTTAGAGTTACAGGATGTTAAAACTTTTTAAAATGAGGTTTTCTGTAATTATCTTAAATACCATAATTTTATTATTTGAAATTGCTGTATGTTGGACTAATACTAATAATAACTAATAGTAATAATATTTAATAATAAATTAGGTAAAAAATATAATATATTAATTTAATTTTTATTTTAATTTTATTAATTGTGAATAATAAAATTGCGTTTATCTCATTAAGGGGGCCGAAATCGACAAAATATCAAGAGATAACTTTTAATTGGCATTAAACGGCCTACACAATTTTCATCTCAAAAGAAAAAAGTCAGTGGCGCACATGTTTTCTTTTGAAAAATATTCCAGTGATAACCTATATGCACGTTTTTTAGCATTAAAATATGTAGCACTTATAGTAATTTTTACCCTCAAAATTTCATTCAAATCACTAAGTACACAATTACTTGGAAGAAAATTACTATAAATCGAAAAAATATTAAGACTTTAACACCCTGTAGCTACGAAACAAAGCAGAATCGGACCTATGTTGATATAAAAAATATATCTTATTTTAACGTGAGGAATCTCCCCAAGAGAGATGGCACATGTTTTTGAAGCGCCCTATATATTCTTATTTTAATTTTAGTTTTATTAAACACACTTTTATTGCTAAAATATTTATTTTTATGAATATATTAATTTTTATGAACATATTAAATTCTTATTTGTGAGTAAACTGTAGTAAAAAATAATATATTAAAATACAACTATTTAATTTTACTTATTATTATACCGTATGATCTGAAAAAACGGCGTTCAGTTGGCTTATAAATGACGATCGATGACATACCTCATATAATTTTACATAAAAATGACAGCGATCTTCATTTTATAGCTATCACTGACGCCGTTTTTTTTTTCAATCACACGGTATTATTAGATAGGTACATAAATATTATTAATATTAATTACTGTTACTATTAAATATTGACAGAAGTTATAATTTTTTGGATATCTTTTAATATTTAAAATAATGTCTATATCATTATGGCGGATTCATTTCTTGAAAAGATTTCTGGGGTTTTCGCCATGGTTTCGCCAGAAAAAAATCTACAAAGTAAAAATATTTTTTGTAAACACCATTGCGTTGATCCAACGGAGACCAATTTGTCAGTGGTATTTTACCAATAAAACAAATTTACCTAACGGACAAAAAGTGCTTAACATAATGGTATATTATGATTATTGTTTGTTCCCAGTAATTAGTATGGAGAAAAAAAATTGTGGGTATTTGGGAAGCCTCAAAGGAAAATAATTTATGTTTTTTTGTGCATAGAAATGAATTCTTTATTATAATTGCTTTAACAAAATATTAATAGGTCTCTCTTAAAACAATTAGAGTTCAAAGCTTTTGCAACTAAATGTTAAAAAACATTTTACAAACTTCTGTTTTAATCAGCTAGTGATGAATATGATCCTGTAATTAGACTGCTATTATCTACTCATATTTATTTACGTACTCATATTTACAGATAAACTTGGAACAAAGAAAGTTAAACACAGTAAACACTGCAAGTGCAAAAAGTTCAATGTTCATATCGAAATGCTTTTCCAGACCAGTGTCAGCATTACCGAGACTTAATTATTCTGAAAAGGTAAAATTAAAGTTATTTTTGTGCCAAATTAAAACATTTATTATTATCTAACAGCCGTTAGTCAAGTTTTAATATTAAACCATTGAATCTCCCTAAACAATAGGAAGATTATATCATAAGTTTATTTTTTTATGTATTTATCTATAAATTGGATGCAGGAGGATCAGTCTTCAAAATGGGACAATAGACCGTTCTCTGCAGATTTTGTGGCCAAAGAACAAAAGTACTTATCCAGAGGATATTTAGGAAGCAGTGTAGAAAGTATTGATGGTAGGTTACAATGACATTTACAGACATACAATAGAAGATGTCTTATTTTTCAATTCATTCTAAGGTCATTGTTAATAAAATAAATGTGCTACCATATATTCTGTCTAGTAAAAGAACATAATTATATTAATGCCACCCAAGTAGCATTTTCAGGACTTGCGACCACATGTTTGCTAAACACAACGTTGGATTAGTTACAAAAAATAGTTAGCTCCCTACCTTGGGTATTAAAATAAATTTAAACGTTTTTATAACGTTGTGCCGACGTTGGACTAGTACTACAGCAAAGTAGAAGCTTCTGCGACGTCGAATAAACGTTGTCTTGTAACCTTTTTTGCTTAAGTGATCTTTAGGTGATTCGGACAACGTAGTTACAACGTTGGACAATATAGAGTTTTCCGACGTCAGTTTCAGGACTTATTCCAACGTTATGCAAACGTCGTCTGTTTTACTAATTCCAACGTTGTTTAGATTTCCTTATTCTTACGTTGGTAGGACGTCGAGTCACTACTTTTTTGCAACTGTATTGAACCATAACCTTAAATTTTAAATTTTCACTTCATTGTTCTGTTCAGTCAGACAGTTCAGTGTTGTTTTGTTTTTATAAAAAACTTAATTAAAATGGGACATAAGAAAGGTACATATAAAACTAAATTTAAATATACATCGACATATATTACCGATAGTTTATCCACTCCCTCGTTTATTTATATTATAGAGGGGGGGCACAAGCTAGACTCTAGGATGACTAAATTAGGCAATCTTGCGACTAGTATACTACCTGTTAAGGCCGAACTGCGACTTTATTAGTCCAGTATGCGACTACTCGAACTACTCCATCTTAATCTCCAAAACAACAAAGTGAAAGCCGCCATGTTGTTAAATAAGAAAATGTTTCGTTCCTAAAATAGCAATTCCTGCTTTTTGAATACATTAACTTGAAATATTTGACCCTAAAAACACGCGGAAACAATTTTTCGACTGCGAATAAATTATTCTCATTTTACTAAAATAAAAAATTCAAGAAAATTTTTAAAACTTCTTTAATTTTAAGGCCCATTAGTATTTTTTAAAGTAGAAACAATACATTTATCAATAAAGTTGTTTGCGTTTAACTTTTTTGCCTTGGGTAACGAGTTACAGAGTCGGTTAAAGTGTTTCAATAATTAAGATCTTCAAACATCCTCCACACTTAAATACTTTTGTTTTGTTTTCCTTCACTGCCATCTGACATATGTCTCTAACTAAATCATAAAAATAATATTTTTACTATAATTATCCCAATTTAGGATAAAACTCGACTTAGACGCCATATTAGTTTTGTATTTCTGTGAATTAGGATATTAAACAACGTTGCAGTTTGTACTAAATTAGGCTTCTAGCCAACGTCGGTATCCAACGTCGTTTCGACCCAAAAATTATTCTCCAAACTAGTGCAGTCTAGGGTTGGCACGAGGTTGTGCCGACGTTGCTCCCCGACGTTTGGTCGCGTGACACAACGTTGTCCCGACGTCCAAATGCTGCTTGGGCAGTTTTGTGATGTTTTGATTTAAAAGTAGATTAATAATTGTTTTTATGTTTTGATGAGATAATTGGTGTTTATAATTTGTTTTATGATGTTTCTTCTTTGAAACCATATATAGATACTCTCATCAGATATAGTATACTAAACTCATAAGTAATTTTTTTTTAATTTAAATGAATTTTAAAAGTATTTGTATACCCAAACTAACAACAACTAATATAACAATATCTTTTTTTTAATTTTAGATGACAAATGTCTTCCATCTACCCAGCTTTACAGAAACCTTCTTTCTGAATCAGTTACTAAATCATGGAAAGGCTATGATGTTCCATCTGCATTAGTCAACAATGATGATACTTCCGATTTTGCCAACGAAAGCAAAGAAAACACATGCGAAGAGAGTAGTTCTATCTCTTCTGTGGATACTTTGCAACCTGAAAATATACCATATGACGGTACAAGAATTTTGATCCAAAATAAATTAATTTTTTTTCTGATTCTCACACAATTGAAAAATTCAGAATTCGCAAACAAAAAAAAAAGGAAATCGCAAACTATTAAAAATATGTATATGATATACCTAATTGAATTTAGATAATAGAATCAATAGAAAATAAATTTGTTCAATAGGGAGGGTGGTAATACTTTCGAACGCCATAGAGCATTAGAAACTAGTTTGTAGAAGTTGATTTATTTATAATAACTACAATTAAAATTATGCATATTATTAGATCCCACACTTAGATTTCAAATTCACAATAAAAAAAAGTTAATTATTGCTGGATATTATCTATTTGAATCTTGGCTCGATTTTCCTTATTCAATATTAATTAGCGCTGATCAATATTGTTGCAATAAATATAATCAGATTAAATAATTTAAAAAAAACAGAGTCGGACTTGAAATTATTTTAAATAATAATTAAACAGTTTTGTTGTAGTTAAGATACCCAGAGTATAAAGTACCCCAATAGTATAAATTGTAGTCAGAAGACTGAGTTCTTTCAAAACCTGAAATAAAAAATGCAAATCCGTGTTTAAAAAAATTAAGTGGGCCTCTGTATCTCACAAATTATCAGCTAATTTCAAAATCTAAAAATACTATCAGATAGCCTCAATAAAGTGGCTATGAGAATGTGCAATTAGTTTTTTGATTTTCTAAAAAATAAAGACATGAAAAAATAAAATTTATTTTCAAAAAAATGCAATCCTTGAAATTTTTAAAACTTTTTTGATGGCATCTTGGCGAACATCCTAAAGCGCATTTTTTCCCAATTTAACCATGTTCGTATCTATTACGGTTACCGAAATACCAATGCTCGTACCGCGAATTTGTAGCACCCTGTATAATAACTGAGTTCAGGCCTATTTGAAAAATGTACCGTAAATAACTACTTTACAGAGCATTCTTATATTGATTCTTTTATATCTGTCTCAAGCATATGTATATCAAACATTAGATAACATTTAAGTTATTTATCAAAAAATCCTAAATCAAATTTTTCTTTAATTTATACCGGGTGCATCTCAAAAGTGGCTCACCCCTATAACTTTTTTTATTTTTTTAGTTAAAAAAACGAGATTTGGTATGTCAGTATATGACTTCCGGTTTCACCGGAAATGACTACAACTTTTAATTTTTAAATGGCACCCCCGGTATTTTTTTACTATAGTCGATAGAAAATGTCACTGTTAATAGAATGACATATCATGTGTCAACTTTTGATATTTTCGCATATGGTTTATTTGAAATTAACTTGCGGTTCGTAACGAAAATTTGACTTGAAATACCAAGTGTGTGGTATCAAATTATTTGTAAAAAAATGCCTTGTCCAAATATGCTAATGAGCCACCCTCGTTCCATTTGAAAAAATTGAGTTATGATTAAAAATACGATTTAAGAATTTTTAACAGGCCAGGACAAGACACTAAAAACATTAGACAATCAAATATATTTTTCCAAGGCTCCTTGAAGAAGAATTAGTGTTTTTAACATAGCCATGGCACTCTAGATTGAATTTTAAAATATAATTTTTTATTTAGCGAGAATGTCAAAGGTTGACATATGATATGTCATTCTATTCAAAATGTCATTTTCTATCGAATAAAGTAAAAAAATACCGAGGGTGCTATTTAAAAATCAAAAGTTGTAGTCATTTCCGGTGAAACAGGAAGTGACCAAAAACAATTGAATACACCAATCAATCCTAATTTATGTCATATTTTAACATACCAAATCTCGTTTTTTATCTGAAAAAATAAAAAAGTTATAGGGGGTGAGCCACTTTTGAGACGCACCCGGTATATATGGTTCCAAAATTTTAGTTATATTTTTAGGGTACTCTGAAATGATGCCTGGACTAAGAACCAAACCACCACTGCCCAAAAAAACTGACCACTCTGTAGACGACAATACGCACACAATGGATGTCATACGTGATTATTTTGATATAAGATATGATACATTTAAGTCCAGAGAAAATTCTACAGTTTCAATTGGTAATGAGAGAAATTTAAATATAAATGATTATAATACACATGGTTATGACTATCATGCTAATAAAATAAAAGAGAACCAACAACAGGAAAGTACCACAGATTTAAATAATGTGAGTTCGAGTGATTTAATGTACAAGGATTGGTTGGATGAAGATATCACGAAAAAAGAAACTGAGACTGATAAATATTTAGAAAAACTTAAAAGCGAACATTGTATTTCAAATTCAAACTTTACTGATAACACAAAAATTGTCGAAAAATGGAGTAAAGTTGATGAATTTCCTACTCTATCGAGTATGGATATAGATGAACTATTCAAAGACGACACTGATAAGAAATTTGATAAGTTCTTTCAACATGAATTAAACAGTGATAGCTCACTTGATGATGTTAACAAAAACAAAATAGTTGTTAAAGAACCCAAAGTAACTAAATTAAAAGAAAAAATTTCAGGAACTACAACTCCAAACATAACCAAGAAGACATTGGTAAATAATAAAGAGCTGCCAAAATCAATTGTACCAAAGAAAATTGATTCCAAACAAAGATTTATCTCAAAACCAATAAAAGGAGGTAAAGATTATACAGATGCATCTAGAAAATCTCCGGACATTGAGACTTGGATGAATAGAAGTTGCTCCAAGTCTAAAAAAACAAATTATCGAGATTTGCTAAAGAACGTAAGCGAAATAGAGCAACTGAGTAGTGTAAAAACTCCGGAAAAGATTATTTCTGAATGCGACGCCGATGATAAAATTGAAGCTTCAAGTCAAATATCGGAAGGTTTTGATGATCTAGTTTCAATTCTCGAGGTGTTGGAAAATGAGGACAAAAAATCGAGTGAGTATGAAATCAAGCTACCTGATTTGATTACCTTAGCTAAGATTCTTTGTTATTAATATAGTAAACCTTGCTGAAGTATAACTTCCAGATCAAGATATTTTTAATTTTATTCATTTTTAGAAAAGAGAATTGCTTCTGTTAAAAACTTAGTTGACTCTTCTTTAAATCAGTATGATACTAAAGAGAGCGAAATAAAAATCAACCCAGTTCATGAACAAACCACTAAAAATATAAGTTTAAATAATGAAGAAGATACAAACCTCCCGGAGATAAATCAAAAACGAGATCCAAGTGAAAGGCAAGTCACTTTTTCTCCGGTAGTTTCGCAAAGAAACATTGAGTCAGCTTGCAGTAATAATTCAGACAGTCCTGAGCCTTATTGTAATACTAAGTTCATTTACCAAGATGCTGACTTTGCTGTGGATAGATTTAATCATAAGTTTGCGATTAAGGGTGATACTAATTACAAGTGATCTAAGAACATATATTTGTTATTTCCAAAAAGTTAATAATGTTTTATTTCAGCCAGCTGCTGTCATTTTTAGATGAAATGGATAGAAAGTGTTCAAAGTCTATAAAGCAGGCAAAAGAAAACGCAATGCTAGCTACAAAAATTACCCAATCTTCTCTAAATTTGGACACTGTACCAAGGTATATGTAAAAAATATGAAGTAGACTAGACAAACCCAGTTTAGTGCGCACTCGGCGATGACCGAATTCTTTCTCCCACCTCGCCCGCAGTGTGATGGATTCCATTATACATTATACACTCTATGAATTTTAAAACTTTCCACCCTTGATATCTTTCTTGCAGTTAAAAATATGAAAAATCAAAAAGACACGTCAATTTTATTTGCAAATGGGACACTTTAGATTAATATTTTTAGCTTTTTTCTTTCATCCCCCTAGGAGAGGTAGATGTGACCGTTACAATCTTAAATGGGAATGGGGGTCAAGTGGCACATCGTTTTAAAGGGCGTTTAATTATCTTTTCAGTGGTAGGTATTCTACTTTGTTGCTTTTTATCCAGAGGTTTCCGAATAATCGCGTTTCAAAGTTGCAGAAACATAAACATTGGGATTTTGGTTTTCGGGCTAGTGTTAACACAAAAATTATTGCAATGAATCTCCTTGTAGTACAAATGATTAGAAGATTAGATTACACCATTTACGAATTTACGCCCTATTTTATAAGTTGCTCAAAATGGTGTCCATTTACCTGTAAACAATAATAAAGTCTGTCTTGAAACTCCTCCCTAATATATTTCGCAAAACTTCACCGGGATTTGACCCACATTCTGCTGCAATGTCAGGAGGTTGTGTTTTATAAACAATGGATTTAAGATGTCCCCAAAGAAAGAAGTCTAAGGGTGTTCAATCCGATGATATAATAATAAATAAATAAATAATGTTTATTCAAACTGATCCAATTACAAAGTATATACAAGACTTATACATAACTTACGAATACAAAATAGTGAATAAACATAATATCCTCTTAAGGTAGAACCTTGTCTGAGGAGTTTTATTTCTACAACAATAACTACAATATTTTATACTAAATTACCCTCTGTTTCAATTTGAGTTTCTAGCTCTTGGGTGATAAGAGGATCAATAGTCTCTTGAAGCATATTAAGATACAGATCACCTGTTAAGTTTCTTTTAATAAATAAAGTACCAATAATGACATTTCCAAGAATACCAGCCCAAACATTAACTTTTTTGTGATATTGTGTATGTCCTCAAAAAATATGCAGGTTTTCGTCACTTCAATATCGATAATTTTGTTTGTTAAAATTTCCATTTAGAAGAAATGAACATTCATCGGAAAAACATATATTCGACAGAATGTTAGGGTTGGCGTTGACTTGACGATTCATGATTTCACAAAACTCTATTCTTCTATCAAAATCATCGTCATAGAGTTCTTGAAGTATCTGCATTTTGTATGGATGAAATTTATGCATTTTCAGTGTTTTTCTTAGAGTTTCGTGTGATATTCCTCTCTGTTGTGCTACTGTCCGCAAGAAGCTTGTGGGCTCCGCAGCAAATAATTCCAGAACCTCAATTTGAGCTCCTTCATTCATCACTTGTAGGTTATTTCTTTTTCGAACCGAACCAGTTTCGGAGAACTTTGTAAATTAACTAGGTAGGTACTCGTAATTTTTTTCTTAATTTTTTATGTAAATTTTTTGAGGTGCCACACATGGCCGTCGCGAAGAGAAGGCAAGGCGCAGCATGCCTCTCTGGAACGCGATGAATCCCAATTATTCGGAAACCTCTGGACAAAAAGCAACAAAGTGGGATACCACTGAAAAGATATACTCTGTTTTTTTTCTCAGGTAAGATTTCGACAGACGATGACAGAAGAAAAGCAGATGACGTCCCATACCAATCTATTTATTTTACTAAAAAAGTTTCTAATAATTTTTAAGTTAACTATGGATGAGTTTAAATACAAATTCGTCATGCGTCGTCACTTGTTGTTTTTAACCAGTTTTATTGGTTTATTTCAAAAATGACAGATCGTCTTTCAATTTTATTGGTTTGACGGAACGATGAACGACAAACGGACGCCGATGCGTATGAACTCGCCTTTAGATTTTTGACGTTTGTCAAAGTCTTGCCAAATTATAGGTTATAATTTTGTGACAACTTTTGTCAAATACCCTGCGTTTTGGAAGATGATGCATTTTGATTCGTGTTATTACGTGTGTTTTGTGTCTTTTGAAGTCAAGTGGAGGAAAAAATCGAGTGAAAATTAACTGTAGAACCCAGAGCACAGTTTATGGTTAATACTCGCTGCCCAGGCAGAAAGTCTTATACAGATACACCAATAAAGTTACTATCAATAAAGTTCGTATACCATCTCGGCGTAGATAAGAGCATCTCGAATATGGTAGAAGGACCATACTAAACACATACTAAAAACTGGAGTAGCTGTAAAATATCGACATCACACGATAGGTAAATAATGGATTTTAGTACTGCAGAAAAATAATGTCAAAAGGTACTTGTTTAAAAAAATTAAGATTAAAGTTAATTAATCAACCTATGAGGTATAAAATTTGGTAAGTGTTATTTTTTGCTGCTTTTTTGGTATGTGGTGTCTTGTTTTTGTTTGTTTTATATTAACACATACCGTTTTGTATTAAATAAAATAACTCGATTACATTTTTTCAGTTGTATACAGTTTTTTTCACAATATTTTGAAGTTACTTGTCAGTCAAATTTTAAACACATATATTAATTTCCTGCTATGCGGTCCAGTTGTACCAACTTATTCCTTTGTAAAGTAAAATAAACTACTTTGAAATTAAAATGACAGACACATCTATCACTGTCAAGGATCTTCTCGTTGGACAGACTATAATTATACACCCTTTAAAACGATGTGCCATTTGATCCCCATTCCCAATAATAAAGCTTGATTTTCATGCATCCGTTATACGTTGATACGAAGGTCCGAATGTGCTCTGATTGGTCATAGCGGTTTCGCGCCACTTAAATGCGCGCCATCCTAAATATTTTACTTCAGCCCGTCAACGGACCCGTTCAAGACCCGTTCATATGATAACGGACGTTTTGACACTTTTTTGACAAATTTAATCTAACCTTAATAAAAATATAAGTAAAATAGCAAAATCGTTATGGAAACACAAATATAAAATAACAGCAACGTATATCCGATAAACGGAGGCATGAAAGTGCAATTAATTTAAAAACTGCGTTATTTTCTAACCAATCAAAGTCTTTAAATTCTACCAATAAAATTAATATCGTATCAACGTATCGTCGGACAACGGATGCATGAAAATCAAGCTTAAAATTGACGTATCTTTCCGATTTTTCATATTTTTAACTGCAAGAGAGATATTTAGGGTGGGAAGTTTTAAAATTGACACAGTGTATACTTATAACTCTAACGGTTTTTGCAGCGCACGGCAGAAAAGCTTGCAAATGGTAGAATTTTACCTATTTACTTGACACATTATTATATTTTGGACAATTCACATATCTTTATAAATTATAGCCTATGTGTTATACAGATGTATAAGCTATATTATTGTAAAGCTTCATTAAAATCTATTCAGTAGTTTTTGCGTGGAAAAGTAACAAACATCCACTCATACAAACTCTTTTGAGTTTATAATATTAGGAAGGATAGTTCCAGGAATGAATTTTTGGATTTTAGGATAGAAGATTTAGAATCACTTTCTAGACAAGAACTAGCTAGCCAGTTGATAGATGTTCATCTTCGTCTTAAAGAGAAACATTCCTCTATTTCTCTATTACTGAACGAGTTGTCAGCATTAAGAGACCAGGCAGTAAAACACAATTCACAAACTGATAATTTAGTGAAACAGAAATTAAAGCAACAGAAAGATGAGTATGAAGGTGTTGTAAAGAGACATCAGAAATTTATCGATCAGTTGATTGCTGATAAAAGAGCGTTGAATCAGCAATGCGAAGGATTGATACAAGAGATGAAGGTAAGCTTAAACAAAATATGTTAGTTATTGTTGCTATACTTTTTTCATAGAATTTAGTCAAGTAATAACTCACTTAACGTAAGGATTTTCAACTTCAGGTAGTCGAAGACAGGTACAATACAAACACAAAAGCGTTAGAGCACAAGCATCAAGTAGAAATTCGCAAAATAAAGGAAATGCATGCAGCTGGTGAAAAGATCAGAAGAGAGCGATGGATTGAAGGAAAAACACAGAAAATTAAGGTATTTCATCTATGAACAGTAGTAAAAATTATGATTTTTGCTCAATGAGAATAGAACTATACCAAGTGCATCTCAAAAGTGGCTCACCCCCTACAACTTTTTTATTTTTTCAGATAAAAAATCAAGATTTAGTATATTAGTTTATGACCTGCTTATATATGACACTTTACACTTACATACACATAGTACGTGACACTTCCCTGTTTCACCGGAAATTACTACAACTTCTGATTTTTAAAGGGCACTCTCGGTATTTTCTTACTTTATGCGATAGAATATGACACATTGAATAGAACGACATATTAGAATCTGGTTTATATGAAATTGCAACATGCGGTTCATAACGACAATTTGACTCGAAATACCAAGTATGTGGTACCAAATTATTCGTAAAAAAATGTCTTTTCTGAATATGCTAATGAGCCATCCTCGTTCCATTTGAAAAAAATTGAGATATGATTAAAAATACGGTTTGGGCATCTTTTAACCGGCCAGGATAAGACACTAAAAACATTAGACGATCAAATCTATTTTTCCAAAGCTCCTTGATTAAAAATTAGTGCTTTTAACACAGCCAGAAAATATCAGAAGTTAACATTCGATATCTCATTATATTCAGAGTGTCATTTTGTATCGAATACGGTAAAAAAATACCGAGGGTGCCATTTAAAAATCAAAAGTTGTAGTCATTTCCGGTGAAACAGGAAGTGGCCGAAAATAATTGAATACGCCAATCAATCATAATTTATGTCATATACTAACATACCAAATCTCGTTTTTAACTCAAAAACTAAAATAGTATATTAAACAACGAGTTTCGAAAATTACGTTTTGCGCACGAGTTCAACAGTTTGTTGCCTGCGGCTCGAGCCACAAATCGAACGAGTGTACAAAGAAGTTTTCGAACGAGTTTTTACGCTATTTTTTCTACGACTACAAATTAGCAGCAGACTCACTCAGTTTTTGTCAGTTTTGTGAAATAATTATTTGGGATGTGATGATGGCACTTTTCTGACGGCTGCGTTGCGTTTGGCGTTTCAGCTAAACATTGAAGGTTAAAAATGTTAAAATTGACACATGTCGTGTGCAAAAAAAAGATAAAGAAAATAAATCCTTAACCCACGACAGTTTGCAAAACGCCAATTTCAGATCGAGATTTCCGTGTGTCAAACTGCATTTTCTAGGCTAGTCGTAGAAAAAAGTCATTGGAATCTCATTGGGACATCAGAAAGGAGCCTTGTAATATCTAGATTATTTATTTATGTTAGGAATTAACAGTTAAAAGTATAGAGCCAGAAATTCAGAGCATGGAAAAGCGTCAACAGCAAGAACTAGCCGATATGAGAGCTTTACAGAAGAAAGAAATCGAAGATATAGAGTTAAGATTGGTCAAAAAGCATCAACAGCAACTGGAGCAATTAAGGGAGCAACTTACGGAAGAAAGAGAAAAATTATTAGCCCATGAAAGGGAAGTTGTCAGACAAAGGTATTTTAGTTCTTAATAAATTTAAATTATTATTAGTGTTTTTATAATTATACTTCATACTTTTTAATTTTCAATCATTCAAAATGTCTAAAAAAATACAGTAAAAATTAATAGAATATCCTAAAGCTTGGAAAATATATAATAGAAAAAGCCCAATATATTTAGCTTATAAAAATACATCTTTATTTATAGCTACAATTTCTCTTAACAGATGATAATCAAGGGCCAAAATAACATTACTCGCAAATTTTGAGGTATAATTAGTGGAAAAAGTTAATAGCTTGTTAACTTTTTCTAATAGCTGAAAATTTCTACCACTAATTTTGATGTTCTGAATACTTACATTTAAATTAGAGGAACAACTTCAACGCTAATTGAAACTACTAAATTATGCCACTAATTTTGAGGTTCTGAATGAGGCTTTTAGCTCAGGGCCGATACATCGTTTTACATGGGTGATCTTCAACAAATTAGAGACAAGCTGCAATTTTGCATGGAGCTTCATTTTGTAGATCTTTAAGCATCCTGAAACGCCAGCGATGAACCGTTGAGCCCGTCACCCTAAAACCACCCCTATAAGGGGTAACAATGGCCCTTTTTTTACTTTTTCTTCTATAACTTTAAAACTACGAATTTTAGGAAACAAAGTCACGAGTAAAAAATTGAAGAAAGTTACCACTGGGGGAGATAATTTTTTTAAATGTGCGTTTTTTACATTTTAAAAATATTGAATAAGAAAAATTGCAGTTTTACAAATAATTTCCGATGAAATAGGTATATTGAAAAATTTAAACGTTTAATAACAAAATAAGAAAAACCTTAGCTCAAAAATAGGATAACTCGTCTTAAGGATAGTCCTCATTCACTCCCACATTTGTTGGGTTCATACATGTAATGCCATTGCATTGACCACATGCCATAGTGCAGGTGAGTTCCATTCGCTTGTATGTACACGCTTTTTTACAGCCTCCCGAAGAGCAATTGCAATTTTTTTTTTCTAAAACCTGTGTAGGAGCAATGGGCTGGTCTGAATGTATTGGATTCATCTCTCGATTTTTCAGATTCTAACCCCAATCTTGCGGTGGTAAATTGTTATTTAACCAACGCTGCGATATTTTCAGATCTGTTTTCTCAATACTATAATTATATAACATATCACTATGGCAAAAATGTCACTGTTGTTTTTGATGGCTATGAAGAGATACAGACCAAAATTGTGGGGCAGAATCGCAGATCTACAGGTAAAAAAATGGTACCAATTGTATCTTTCTCGAATTTATCTGCAGTGAAGGTACCAAAGGCAGATTTTTTGTCAAACAACACCAACAAAAGCAACTTCATTCGTGCACTCGGAAAAGTATTGTTGGAAAATGGAATCAATGTTAAAGTCGCTGATGGTGATGCCGATACTCTTATTGCAATTACAGCGATCTTAATAAGTGACAATTTACCAGAACTGACCGTAGCACTAGTTAACGAAGATACGGACATTATAGTGTTACTGATTCATTATTGCCACAAGAGACTGTTTATGATTCGTCCGGGAAAGGTGTAAAAACCAAATAAAATAATCGACATATCGGCCTTACAACAAAAATTGGAAGTGATTCTTAGTCCACGTCCACGCTATATCTAGTTGTGACACAACGTCTGCTGTGTTCAATAAAGGGAAGATTAATTTAGTGAACACCAGGAGAAAAAGTTATGTGAGCTATTAAAAGAATTATATAATCCCGAGGCTACAAAGGAGAAGTTAGAAGAAGTTACATCTCAGTTTTTTATAGCAGCATATATGTTAAAAACTCGACAAAAAAAATAGATTTGAATAGTGCCAGATACATGCTTTATCAAAAGTACGTAGCTAAACGAAGTCTTAATACCAACTTCAACTTGGCATCATTACCACCTACCTCCAATAGTGCGAAATATCATGGACTTAAGAGTTTTTCACCAGGTAAGTTAAATTTATGTTGCATTCAAATGTTAAACTAAATTCTCATTTTTAACTTACAGGTACAGGCTTGGTTAAATAACAATTTACCACCGCAAGGGGTTCGAGTCTGAAAAATCGGAAGATGAATCCAATACATTCAGACCAGCCCATTGCTCCTGCATGGGTTTTAGAGAAACATTTTTTGCAATTGCTCCGCGGGAGGCTCTAAAAAAGCATGTACATGCAAGCGAATGGGACTCACCTGCACTATGGCATGTGGTCAATGCAACGGCATTACATGTATGAACCCAACAAATGTGGAAGTGAATGAGGACTATTCTTAAGATAAGTTATCCTATTTTTGAGCTAAGGTTTTTCTTATTTTGTTATTAAACGTGATTACAGTTGAGGGTTGGAACCTTTGGTGTTACACAGCAAAATAAAAGCTCCTGCATGGGTTTTAGAGAAAATTTTTTACAATTGCTCTGGACGCGCGTCTCCTGCTAACCATGTTAGCATCATCAGCAGATGATTATAAACTAAGTTTATAACTACTCAGTTTATAATCATCTGCTGATGATGCTAACATGGTTAGCGAGACGCGCGTCCAGTGTAAAAGTAAAAGTGTTTTGGTGTATTGTGGTGATTTAGTGTTTTTATTAAACGTGTAAATTTTTCAATATACCTATTTCATGGGAAATTATTTGTAAAACTGCAATTCTTCTTATTCAATGTTTTTAAAATGTAAAAAAAAGCACATTTAAAAAAATTATCTCCGCCACTGGTAACTTACCTTTATTAAAAAGATCGTTTTTATAGGAACTTGCATCCTAATAAATTTTTTGGTCGCGAGATTTATCTCAAAAATGCTTTCATTTGAAGTTAAACACAGAATGGTGGGTTATTAAAACAATCCTCCTAAATTAAAGAATTCGCACCTGCGCCACTGAAATTCTAAAAATTTGGTTCTTTACCTAGGTGGTAGGAAATTTTTTTCTCTTCAATTTTTTACTCGTGACTTTTTTTCCTAAAATTCGTAGTTTTAAAGTTATTGAAGAAAAACTAAAAAAGGGCCATTTTACCCCTTATAGGGGTGGTTTTGGGGTGACGGGCTCAACGCTTCATCGCTGGGGTTTCAGGATGTTTAAAGATTTACAAAATGAAGCTTCATGCCAAATTTCAGCTTGTCTCTAATTTGTTGAACCTCGGCCTGTATAGACTCTGGGCTATTTAGAGTTTGCTAACTTTTTCTACTGATTGAAAATTACTATCGTTTTAACCTAACTACTATTTTGACGTTCTGAATAGGGTTCAGAACCGGGACTCGAAATTATTAATTCCCGGTTCTTTCGGTACTTTCGGGACTCGGTAATAATAATTAAAAACATATTTTTTGTAGTTTCTATAATGTTTATTAGCAACTATAGAATTTTAAACATGTTATTTTATTATTTAGTATAATATTGCTGAATGTATTAGTTATATTTTTTGTGTTATTTTATATAGGCATTTGCATCTTTAATTGAAAATGTTTTTTCTAGTTTAGTTAAGTTGGTTTTGACGTTGGTTGATGTTGTTTGATGTAATTTTAAAGCTACCTATGTGTTTTCTTTTTTTTTCGCTTGTGTTCAATATTTGCGTTCCTGTTTACTTTCTCATGACCTAATAATTTAATATTGTTTTCATTTGAAACTCAATTTTTTATCGGTTTTACTTTTGAGAACCATCCCTTGCTTGCTAATTGACGAACTCCACAATTGTTGAACGAAAATATTTTAGTACGGTTTTGGAAACTCTAATACTACCAATTAGGGTTCAACTGGGGTTGGGGGTTAGGGTTCAAACCGCCAATTAGGGGCCTCGGTGGTAACAATAATTAAAAAAATATTTTTTTTACGTGAGAAAGTCCTTTGATACCTTCTAGCAGTCAAAATCAAACTCTTCTAAATAAGTAATGATGCTCATTTCTTAGCAATGATTCTATTTTCTATGATGCTTATAAGTAATTATGCTATTCTCTATTTCTTTTTTGCTTTCTTGTTCTTGCTTCTTTTTTCTTTTGACGTTTCTATAATATTTATTATGTTATGTTTTAATAGATATTTGCATTTTTAATTCAATATTTTAGGGCTTTTGTCTCAAATTCAGTTTGGTTGGTTTACGTTGTTTGATGTGAAATTTAAGTTACCTATACTTTTTTCTTTACTGGTGTTCATGTTTGTGTCCATGTTAATTTTTTCATGACTTAATAGTTTAATATTATATATAAAATAGCTCTAAAAGCCTAAAAGGCTCATGGCTTGATTGGTTATCTTTCTTCATTTGTTCCTGTCTTTCGTCTTTATTCTCCACCTTCCAAGTCCTCTTCTACATCCTTTTTCCATCTGATTCTCGGTCTACCCCCCTTCTCTTTCCACCTATTTCACGTTTCATTATCATACTAGGAATTCTTGCTTCGGCCATTCGTTCAATGTGTCCTTGTCCGTCTTGCTACTCCCGTTATACTCGGTGCCCGATATAGTTGCTTTACTTCTTCATTTGTTCTTCTGGTCCATATGTTGTCTATCTTCTTTCCTCCAAAAATCTTCCTCAGTATTTTTCTTTCCCAAATCTCTAGCCTCGAACTTTCTGTTGCATTGAACGTCCACGTTTCATATGCATACAGCACTATTGGTCTTATCATTGTTTGGTACATTCTGATTTTTAAACTTCTAGAAATGTTCTTACTCTTAATAATTTTCTGTAATACGCTGACACATCTATTTCCTGCCATTATTCTTGCCATAATTTCTTGAGTTAAATTTGGATTCCTTAGAAATACTGCTCCCAGATATATGAATGTATCTACTTCCTCAAACTTGTATCGTTTACATCTCTCAGACTTCAATTGTAGACATCTTCCCTTCTCAAAATCTTTATGTAACCACTCCATAAATTTGGTTTCCTTCTCATTAAACACTAAGCCTACTTTTTGCGCTTGATTTTGTACTCTTTTGGTCACCGATATCAGCTCTTTCCGATCTCTTGCTAAGATAACCAAATCATCGGCAAAGGCTAAGCATTGGTG